TCTCATCTATCTTGGGTACTCTCTTCTGTGCATCCTCTGCTTTCCCTCAGTCTCACATAACATTTTCTATTATTGTAAAATATCACTTTTTCCCTGTCAGGAGCCTCTGTCTATCAGACTAGAAAGAAGGTGCCACTGTAACAAAAATGATGGCTGAAGGCTATCCAGGGTGACCTCCATTATCCCACTACCTCTTCTCCACCTACATCAGACTCCTGAACTATACAGTATGCTTTCCTCTCCCCACCCATCTTCCATGCTGTGTGATCCTTCTGGTCAAAGCCAAGTAGCCCTGAACAGCCTGTTATCCTAGGAGAACCTCAATTACTCCCTGCCTATCCCACCACCATCATCAGACCTGAGACTCCTGAACCATACAGGTTAGCTTCCTTTCCACCAGAAAGCCTATATACTCACGGAGATTGAACACCTCTCTACTCACTAATCTCTGGAACATGGAAGAAATAAAAAAAGAAATTAAAGACTTCCTAGAATTCAATGGAAATGAAGGCACAACATACTCAAATTTATGAAACGCAAGAAAAGCAATGCTAAGAGCACTAAGTGCCTCCATAAAAAATGAGAAAATTCTCATGTCCCAATTTAAAAATGCACCTAAAATCTCTAGAAAAAAGAAGCAAGCACGCCAAATACAAGTAGAAAGCAGAAAATATTCAAAATAAGATCTGAAATCAATTAGTTAGAAGCAAAGGAATCAATTCAAAGAAGCAATGAATCCAAGAGCTGGTTCATTGAGAAAATCAGCAAGACAAACAAACCCTTAACCAAACTAACCAACAGACCAACAGCCAGTATCCACACAAACAAGATGAGTAATAAAAGAGAGACATAACAACTGACACTGAAGAAATTTAGAGAATCATTAGGCTATACTTCAAAAACCTGTACTCTATAAAATTGGAAAAAGTTAATGAAATGGATGATTTTCTAGACAGATAACACTTACCAAAGTTAAATCAAGATCAGGTAAACTATGTAAACAGTCCCATTACCCCTAAAGAAATAGAAACAGTTCAAAGTCTTTCACCTTATAGAAGCTTTTCAGTTTCATGAGGTCCCCTTTATCAATTCTTGATCTTAGAATCTGAGCCATTGGAATTGTGTTAAGGAAATTTCCTCCCATGCCAATGAGTTTGAGGCTCTTTCCTACTTTATCTTTTATTAGGTTCAGTGTACCTGGTTTTATGTTAAGGCTCTTGATCCATTTGGACTTGAGCTTTGTACAGGTGACAAATAGAGATGTATTTTCATTTCTACATACCAACTACATACCAACTGCCAGTTAGACCAGCACCATTTATTGAAGAAGCTTTCTTTTTTCCGTAGTATATTTTTGGCTTCCTTTTCAGACATCAAGTATCCATAAGTGTGTGGATTTATTTCTGGATCTTCAATTCTGTAAGGCAAAGGACATAGTCAACAGGACAAGTGGGAAACCTACAGATTGGGAAAAAATCTTCACTAACCCCACATCCAAATATATCCAAAATATATAAAGAACACAAAAGGCTGAACTTAAAAAACCAAACAACCCAATCAAAAAATGGGATATAGAACTAAACAGAGAATCACACCAGAGTAATCTCAAATGGCCCAGAAGCACTTAAAGAAATGTTCAAAGTCCTTAGTCATCAGGGAAATGCAAATAAAAATGACCCTCAGACTCCACCTTTCACCGATCAGAATGGCTAAGATCAAAAACTCAGGTGAAAGCATATGTTGACGAGAATGTGGAGAAAGAGAAACACTCCTTCATTGTTGGTAGAATTGCAAACTGGTACAACCACTCTGGAAATCAGTCTGGCAGTTCCTCAGAAAATATTGGACATAGTATTACCTGAAGACCCAGCTATACCACTCCTGGGCATATACCTGAAAGATGCTCCACCATGCCACAAGGGAACATATTCCATAGGTTCTTAGCAGCCTTATTTATGGTAGACAGGAGCTGGAAACAACCCAGATGTCTTACAATAGAAGAATGGATATTGAAAATGTAGTTTATTTACACAGTGGAACACTACTAAGCATTTAAAATGAGGACATCAGGAGCTTTGCAGACAAATGGATAGAACTAGAAAATATCATCCTGAGTGAGATATCTCAGATCCAAAAGGACAATACATGGTATGTACTCACTTATAAGTGGATATTAGCCAAAAATGTTCAGAATACCTAGGATACAATCCATAGAACTCGAGAAGGTTAACAAGCTGGAGGACCCACGTGAGTATGCTTCAATCCCACTTTGAAGGAAGAAGAAAGCAATTACCATGGGAAGAGGGAGGGAGGGACCTGTATGGGAGAGGGGAGGAGGAAGAGAAAATGGGAACACGATCAGGTAGGGGGTGGGAGAAAGGAGAAAAGCCCTGAAAGCCAGCAGAGATAACGGAATTATGTAACCTATAGTGATGAAAGGTTGGGGACTCTCTAGAAAGTACCAGAGATCTGGGAGGTCAGAGAACTTCAGGACTCAATTGAGGGACCTTAGATGAAATGCCCAACAGTGGGGAGATGAAATTTGTAGAGTCCATCTCCATCAAGTAGAAAAATGGCATCAAGTGGAGGGAATGGGTTGCCATCCCACTGTCAAAATCTCTGACCCAAAATTGTTTCTATCTAAATGAACTGCTGGGAGAAAAATGGAGAAAAGACTAAGGGAAAGGAAGTTCAGTGACCAGTCCAAATTGGGATCCATCTCAATGGGAAGTTTCAAGGACTAACACTATTACTGATGCTATGGTGTGCTTAAGTATAGGAGCCTAGCATGGCTGCCTCGGAGAGGCCCAACAAGCAGCTGACTGAGACAGATGCAGATACTTAAACCCTGAATGGACTGAAGTTGGGGACCCCTGTGGCTGAATTAGGGAAAGGCAGGAAGAAGCTGAGGAGGAGGATAACCTCAAAGGAAGATCAGCAGTCTTAACTAATCTGAACCCCTAAGATCTCTCAGACACTGAGCCACCTACCAGACAACATACACAGCTTGACCAAGGCCCCAGAAACGTATATAGTAGAGCACTACCTGATCTGACCTCAGTGGGTAAAGACGAGCCTGACCATTGAGAGACCTGAGGCCCCAGGAAGGTGGATGCCTGGAGGGCCATTAACATCCTCTTGGAGATGGGGAGGATGAATAGGATGAGGGAGGGACTGTGGGAGACTGGGCCAGGATGGCGGAATGACTGGACTGTTAAAAAATAAAAGTAATAAAATAAAATAACATAAAATATAAAAAGGAAAAAAATGTAGTACAATTACACAATGGAATATTACTCAGCTTCTAAACCAATGATATTACAATATTTTCAGGCAAATGAATGTAACTATAAAATATCATCCTGGCCTTTTGGCTGGAGCAGACACCTAGCTGGTCTGCTCCCATTAAGACACCTTATTCTGAACCTTCATAGAGCAGCAGGTAAGAACCCTCCCCAATACCCTAAGCCTCAGAGCTGCAACCCACCCAAACCCGCCCCTCCAGAATACCACTCCACATCCAACCTTTTCTTGGTCCTTTTGGCTGGGGCAGACACCTGGCTGGTCTGCTCCTGTAAAGACACCTTATCCTGAACCTTCCTAGAGCAGCTGGTAAGAAACCTCCCCCCAACCCTACACCCCAGAGCTGTAACTGGGAACCTGAAGCACTCTGGACCCATCACCCATCCAAACGCAGCCCCTCCAGAATAGCACTCCCCATCCAACCTTTGCTTGGTCCTTTGGATAGGACAGAGACCTAGCTGGTCTACTCCAGAGAAGACCTCATATCCTGAACCATCCTAGAGCTGGTGGAACCATTGCACTCAGAGAAGCAGGATTTCAGGATCCCAGAGGCAGCCAGAGTCACAGGAGCTCTTCCACCCAGAAACTTAGGATCACTGGATCACACAGAGACAACTGGACTATGAGGAGTTCTGACACAAGCAAGATAACTGGAAAGACAGGGTCCAGTCAGAGACAGTGAATGCAGGGAACACTAGAGATAACCAGATGGCAAAAGGCAAGGGCAAGAACATGAACAACAGAAACCAATGTTACCTGGCAGCATCAGAACCCAGTTCTCCCACCATAGCAAGTCCTGGACACCCCATCACACCGGAAAAGAAGGATTCAGATTTAAAATCACTTCTCATGATGATGATAGAGGACTTTAAGAAGGACATAAACAACTCCCTTAAAGAAATACAGGAGAACACAGGTAAACAGGTAGAAACTCTTAAAGAGGAAACATAAAAATCCCTTAAGCAATTACAAGAAAACACAACCAAACAGGTGAAGGAATTAAACAAAACCATCCAGGATCTAAAAGTGGAAGTAGAGACAATAAAGAAACCCCAAAGGGAGACTACCCTGGAGATAGAAAACCTACGAAAGAGATCAGGAGTCATAGATGCAAGCATCACCAACAGAATACAAGAGATAGAAGAGAGAATCTCATGTGCAGAAGATACCATGGAAAACATGGACACAACTGTCAAAGAAAATGCAAAATGCATAAAACTCCTAACCCGAAACATACAGAAAATCCAGGACACAATGAGCAGATCAAACCTAAGGACAGTAGGTATAAAATAGAGTGAAGATTGCCTGCTCAAAGGGCCAGTAAACATCCTCAACAAAATAATAGAAGAAAACTTCCCTAACCTAAATAAAGAGATACACATGAACATACAAGAAGCCTAAAGAACTCAAAGTAAACTAGCCCAGAAAAGAAATACCTCCCATTACATAATAATCAAAACATCAAATGCACAAAACAAAACAAAACAAAAATACTAAAAGCAGTAAGGGGAAAAGGTCATGTAACATATAAAGGGAGACCTACAAGAATTACACCAGACTTCTCAACAGGGACCAGAAAAGCCAAAAGATCCTGGACAGATATCATACAGAAACTAAGAGAATACAAATGCCAACCCAGGCTACTATACCCAGCAAAACTCTCAATAACTATAGATGCAGAAACCAAGTTATTCCATGACAAAAATGAGATATACACAATATCTTCCCACAAATCCAGCCTTACAAAGGATAATTGCTGGAAAACTCCAACACAAGGAGGGAAACTACAACCTAGATTAAGCAAGAAAATAATCTTCTTCCAACAAACCCAAAAGAAGATAGCTACTCAAACATAATTTCACCTCTAATAACAAAAATAACAGGAAGAAACAATCGCTTTTACTTAATACATCTTAACTCCAATAGATTCAATTCCCCCAATAAAAAAAATTTAGACTAAGAGACTGGATACATAAACAGGACCCAGCATTTTGCTGCATACAGGAAACGCACCTCAGCAACAAAGACAGACACTACCTCAGAGTATAAGTATAGAAAACAATTTTCCAAGCAAACGGTCCCTAGAAACAAGCTGGTGTAGCCATTGTAATTTCAAATAAAATCGACTTTCAACCAAAAGTTATCAAAAAAGATAAGGAAGGACACTTCATACTCATCAAAGGAAAAAATTTACCAAGATGAACTCTCAATTCTGAATGTCAATGCTCCAAGTTCAAGGGCACCCACATTCATAAAAGAAACTTTACTAAAGCTCAAAACACACATTGTACCTCACACAATAATAGTGGGAGACTTCAACACCCCTCTCTCAGCAATGGACAAATCATGGAAACACAAACTAAACAGAGACACAGTGAAATTAACACAAGTTATGAACCAAATGGATTTAACAGATATCTATAGAACATTTCATCCTAAAACAAAAAAATATACCTATTTCTCAGCACATCATGGTACCTTCTCCAAAATAGACCACATAAATGGTCACAAGGCAGGCCTCAACAGACACAAAAATATTGAAATATTCCCTTGCACCTTATCAGATCACCATGGACTAAAGCTGGTCTTCAATAATGACAAAAACAATGGAAAGCCCACATACACATGGAAACTGAACAACACTCTACTCAATGATGACTTGGTCAAGGAAGAAATTAAAAAAGAAATTAAAGACTTTTTAGAATTTAATGAAAATGAATGCTCATCATGCCAAAACTTATGGAACACAATGAAAGCAGTGCTAAGGGGAAAACTTACATCTCTAAGTGTCTACAAAAAGAAACTGGAGAGAGGATACACTAACAACTTGACATCACACCTAAAAGCTCTAGAACAAAAAGAAGCAAATACACCCAAGAGGAGCAGATGGCAGGAAATAATCAAACGCAGGGCTGAAATCAACCAAGTAGAAACAAAAAGAACTATACAAAGTATCAACAAATCCAGGAGCCGGTTCTTTGAGAAAATCAACAAGATAAATAAACCCTTAGCCAGACTAAGTGGAGAGCACAGAAATAGTATCCAAATTAATAAAATCAGTAACAAAAGGGGAGACATAACAACAGGAACAGAGAAAATTATCAGATAGTACTA